TTGGCAAATGGATTTTTCCAGGTGCTTTTTAAAAAGCAGGGCCACCTCCTTCTAGGAAGGAAAGCATATTTAATCACCTTCCTAAGTGCCTCTTTAATGTGGTGAGAGCTGCTCCCCCTTTTTCATTCGGAAAGGAGAAAAGATGTTGGCAAAATGTGAGATTTAGGGGTGACCCAAGAACCGTGTGAAGTTCGGATCAAACCTGTAAGGTAAATATGGATCCACTCACATAATAAATAGGAACAGCCATCACAAAAGTACTGTGTGTGTACAGCACTTTGAACACAACCAATGGATATTAAGTATTTTATCGTTCACTGCATATAAAGTTTTTTCAGGCATAACTTTTGCCCACGTTCAGTTTGAAGCTTCAGTGAAATTCAAACGCTCATTGTGCATGAGGGGCTGATCCTCAGGGAATCTGGGCATGTGAGGCTGCAAAACTGWGCTGAACACCAACAGAAATCCAGCAATTCAGTTTTACACATTTGACCATAAATTGTCTGAAAAGAAAGGACAGAGGGATGATAAATGATGGAGGGAAAAGGCTTTAGCCTAAATACGAACTCTGAAAACAATCTGTCAACAAAAAGTGTCATGGCGTCAGAGGTTCTTAAAAATTCTCACTGTAGTACATGAAATAAAATGAARTAAAATGAAGTAAAATWAARYGTTCATATCACCAGGTTTGTTGATTTCATAACCGGTTTTATTAATTTCATAACCAAAGACTTTTAGTTTCAATGCRTAATCTGACGTTGAAAAGAAATAATTAATTAGTGGCTGAACGCTTCAGAAAATGAAGAATCAAGGTTTTCTGATGGTTTATTCTTTGCTAATTCTGATTCTGCTTTCAGGTGGGTATCTTATCCGCCGTGCCGCATTTAGTGATGACAATTATTGTCCCCATTGGGGGACAAATTGCAGACTTTTTAAGGAGCAGGCAGATTGTTTCAACAACCAATGTGAGAAAGATAATGAACTGTGGAGGTAAGACTTTGTATTTTATTTCAGAGTTTCTTGGAGGGATTGGATGTTCATACTGTGCTCTGTACAGAATAAAAAAAAACAAACTGCAAGGTTGTCTGTACTTGGAAGCAACACTTTCTGCATTTATTATGTAGTGCAGGTGTTGTTACTAAATAAAAGAAAGCACAGGTGCTCCTGTTCCCGATTTTGATGTGGTTATTTGGTGTTTGAAAAAGCATTTACAGCATTAAGGAAACAGATGAGATTTTGGAGGGCAATTTACCTATTTTTAGCCACTTAYTCAGTCTTAACCACTCAGCTAAGAACCCTCTACACCAGGAGAATCCAGACAAATTCCTGAGATTACATCCCTGATTTCTGAGGTGCTAAAGCCACATGAGCTGTACCTTAGCTGTGATGAGGGCTGGAAAATTCACAAGCAGGTTAAATGTGTGTTCCCACGAGAGCTGGCTGGAATGACCTCGCCACATCAAAAGTATTTATTTTCATTTAAAAATTGACAGGGAGTAACAATAAATTAGCATACAAAGAGTAAAATCGGGGTTATTTGAGAGAGGAAAAGCGTGTTTTTTTAGAGATGTAAGGAATACCTGATTATATCCTGCTCTTAGGTGATATTTTATTTGTGTTCCTATGAAATATCATGGCATCCTAAGGCCTGCAGTATTTGAGAGGGAATTAAATCCTGGTTTTATTTATTCTTTCACCAGGTTTTGGTATGGAAGCAACTCTTCTTCTCGTGGTGGGATATTCACACAGCAAAGGAGTGGCCATTTCATTCTTAGTGCTTGCTGTAGGCTTTAGTGGATTTGCCATATCTGGTAAGAGTATATTACTATTATTACTAAACAGCTTTATTTTAAGAGATAGAACATTTAGCTTTGTTTTTATTCATGGATAGTAATTAAAAAGCCCCCTCAATATGGAATTCCCAAAGGACATTATTTATGACCATTACAAAGGAAAGCACACTCAGAATTACATCTTTTATGTTCAGATTATTTCTGTTCAAATCATTCAATCTTTTCCATATTCATTGCAGCAAATGAGACTTTCTTCTCATTAAGATGCTAATGTACAGTATAGATTTTTCTAGAAATCAAACATGGAAGACAAATGGGCTGGTATTACACAAYGATACCTAAATTTGCACATCTTTGTTCAAGTGGAAGCATTTTATTATTTTTCCCACTGCGTGTTGGTTATTGCTTTGCTAGTATTGTATTATTTAATTATTTTGAGACCTGTTAGAGTATTAGATTATTTTATTTTGGGGCCTAATTGCTGGAATTCTTTTTCTGAGTTACAATCCAGCTATTATAATTCCCCTTTCCTGCTGATTCATCAGCTCTTTGCCTTTCCCCTCCCCAAGCACAAGTCACACGGCCTTTCCTTGCTTTCCCACTGWGATTTTCGTATCCTCTCCCATGCTGGCTCCTTATGTCTCAAGCAGGCTCTCTTTCATTTYGTGCCAAACATCTAAACTCTCCCCTAATCAAATCTCATGTGTTTTACAAGGGATCATTCCCATTTAGGACAGCTTGGGCAGTGTACTGCACTTTCCCCAAATTGTCCATATAATGCTGCCTGCCTTTTCCCTTTTATTATCTTCCTGAATCCAAAGGTTTGGTTTCTGGTTTTGCTCACTTCAGTACCTATTTTTGGAACAATTAGCTCCCAATTAGCTTCTTTAGATTATTTAAATAGCTACTGATGCATTTTCAACCACTGAAAATGCAAGAGAACAAATAAATATAAAACTTAATTAATAATTCAGTTATAAATTCTGTCTTTTTACTCTAATTTACCACTGTGGAAGAGAAAAGAACTCTCTTCTGCTGGTCTGTGTGACAAAAAGAAAAAATGTGGACAGTAGGAAAGGAATGTTTACAAACAGGAAGAAGAAATGACGTGTTATTTACAGAATGAAATAGTCATGTGGGACACTGAAATAGGAACTCTCTCCCTGCCTGAATCTCTTCTGGGTACTCTGCTCCACACAGGCACTGCTGGGAGGTTCTGGCATTTTTCAAACTGCAATTTTGGGAAGAAAATAAACCTGGCATCCCTTTCTAATGTATTCTTAAAAGGAAATGAAAAACCCAGAGCCTTTCTAGGAATATTTAAGCATTGTAARTCTTACAGGGACAAAGAAAGATATATAACAAATACGTTTAATATACAAATATGTTTATATTAATATATTTATTTATATTTATTATTATTTATATTAAATGAAAATTCTTTATATTAAAATATGTTTGATGAAAACACCAAGTGTCACTTTTCTCGACTGAAGTGAGCTCTGCTCTTGGTGTGAATGTTCACTGACCTTTCTATTGCAGGATTCAATGTCAACCACTTAGACATTGCCCCGAGGTATGCYAGCATCTTAATGGGGATTTCTAATGGAGTCGGGACCTTGTCTGGAATGGTTTGCCCTATAATTGTTGGAGCAATGACAAAGAACAAGGTAAATGGAAATACAGCTTTGAAATCCTCCAGTTTGATGCTATTGGTTTCGAGGAACAGACCTTTCYATAATTCAGCTTGCCAGGATATCCACATTGGAGTCTGGGGCTTGCAGATTTGAGGCATGCTTCACTACATGCCCATGAGGTTGATGCTTTTCTGGATTGATAAATTTTTCAGAGGTAGATGGCTATAAATAATTATATAATAGGCTCTTAAATGTTTTAGCTGTGCTGATTACAACCTCAACCCCTGATTGARATATTCCAGCTCAGAAGAGTTGGGTAAGTCCACGTGCTGCTCTGATTTCCCAAATTTCTCCTTTTCAGACRCGTGAAGAATGGCAGTACGTCTTCCTCATCGCTGCTCTGGTCCATTACGGAGGTGTAATCTTCTATGGCATATTTGCATCAGGAGAGAAACAGCCCTGGGCAGACCCTGAGCAGACAAGTGAAGAGAAATGTGGCTTTATTCACGAAGATGAACTTGCTGAAGAGACGGGGGACATTACTCAGAATTATGTAAATTATGGTACCACCAAGTCTTACGGTGCTACGACCCAGGTCAATGGTGGCTGGCCTAATGGCTGGGAGAAAAAAGAGGAATTTGTACAAGAGGAAGTACAAGACTCATACACCTACAAGGAAAGAGATTATTCATAACAGACCTAAATATTTGGTATATTTTGTAGTGTTTGTGATTAAATTCATTGTGATTGTTTGCACACGGAAAATAAAATGTGGTATAAACATGTAAACACATATCAAACAGGAAGGTCTTACTGTAAAAAAAAAAAAATACATCAAAGTGCAATCTGTATGAGTTGTGATGTTATCACTTTCATTAGATTATATTTGTTCTATAAACATTAGAGTTTTAAGGGTTTACTGGTCAAAACTATAGAGGCAATTAGATCCTTTACAGTATACAAGAGCTAAAACTCATAATTAAAAGATAAAAGCACAACGAAGCAACCGAGTTGGCACATCTAACGCTCTTTTTAGAAAGCCAAAACTACTTGATCATTTAAAAAAAAATGCACTTATATATTTGTTACACTGTATTGAAAGAGATTGTGTTGAAGACACACATTTACTCAGTGCAATGTAGGAGTTGTGTGTTCAGTCCAGGACRAGAACTTCCTTAAATGAGGAAGGTTAAGTCCGAGGCATTTTTTTGAGGATTGATCCAGTTCCCTTTGCTGGTAATTGTGTCAAGCCTAAAGAACAAATAGGGCATATTGTATGTTTGTCGTGATTACATGCTGCAGGCTACTCTGTGATGAATAAAGGAGCTATTTAGGAGTTTTATACTGAATGTTTGGGCACAAATTCTTATTTCTGTTCTTTGCAGAACCTCATGAAATTATAGACTTTGTCATGTTCYTCCCTGCATTTATCAGCTAATATAAAAAACAATGTAAAAACWATATTAAGTCTGACTTTTCAGGCAGCCTGGCAAATCCCTTTATCAAAAAACAAGCTTTATTATTCTATTCTTTGCAGTATGTTCTGAATTTGTACAGGTGTCTTTAGAGAGGGAAAAAAAACCCCAATATAACATTTAAAAAATATATAGTCTTTTACAAAATTCCAAAGAGAAGTTTATTATGAACAAGTAGCCCTATGAAAAAAGGATGCATTTGTTTTGCAGAATATTTTGAAACCAATAGAAGAAACAGAGAATAATTTAACCCTTATTCTTCCCTTAATAGCTTTCATATTTTTACACATCGTGCCACAGTTGTATACATAGATATAAGTTTATTGAAGATACTGTAACTATAGAAAAATGTTATTTTAGAAATCCCTGAAAGAAAAGATGTATTTGTCTTTCRATCAAACCTAATAATAACGATGGACACTGAATATGAGTGACATAAAAACTCACAATAAACCAAAGTGGTAAATAACTAGTGTTGGGTTGAAAGAAGCCAACAAGCGCCACGCTTGTCTTTTTAGCATAACTCAACAGTGACTGCAACATTAGTGTACCAAGCAATAAGTGCAATGCATTATCAAGTGCATAATCTTCTAGAGAAATATATTTAACCTTCATTTAGCTTGTTGTATATACTTGGGGTTGTTGGGATTGAAACCAAACCGAACCAACTGGAGTTAGCAACACCAGACCACTTCTTAATACTCTAAAAATGACGATGATGACGATCCATTTCTCGATTCAATCAAATGATTATTATTGTATGTAATAATCCATTCTGGATTCTTGGTCTGTTCATTGTATTGTGCTAGTGATTGGAAACCCTGCTACCGCAATATACAACTTGAGGATTGGATTTTTTTTCTCCTTTTCTCTTTTTTTTTTTTTTTTTTTTTTAAATGCAAATCATACCTTGACCTTAAGAAAAGAAGTATTTTGCTTTGTGCCTCAAAGTGATGTAAAACGTGACCATAGCTTTTGCTGTGTTTAATGAAAAAGATGTGGACTGTGTCACTTTTGTTGCTGCAAAAAGTGTTAATAAAATGCTCTATTTATCCTTTTATATAAAAAGGACCACTACAGTTTCTTGTGATTTTTAGATGTGTTTTAGTCCCTGCAGAATAAATTCTGCTTTGATGTGGAGAGAGGGYCTCACAGCTGGGAGCTCTGCTCAATCCCATTGTCTGTTCTTGCTCTGGGAGGTGGGACAGGCACCTGGCCTGAGATTTCCCTCCTCTCCCAAGGAAGGATGGCAAAATGTGGGAGAGAAAGAAGCAGGAGGATCAGGCAGTGCAAAAAAAACCTAATCTGTGTTAGCTAAAGAGCTGGCATAGTTTGGCATTCCCTAAAGAAAATGAAAAGCAGCACATCCCTGCTTTTTTCCTGGAATTTTTCCTTTCKTGATTATGCAACAAGACTCCTTAATTCATTAACTGAAACATATTGTTCCCACCCRTTTCTTAGATAAATCCTACAGCAATCAGCAACTTTAAGAAACCCTATATTAAAAATAAATATTTCTCTAATAAAATTTTTATTTTTCAGTGGTTTTCTGTCGTTAAACAGAACAATGCAGGAACATCAAACTGAACAAAAGGCTTCAGAACAGCAACCAGAGCAGTAACAGGCCCAGTGCTTTTCACCAACAGGTTGAGATGCTGAATCAGTCAACAAAGTTAATGCCAATTGTTTTGATGAACCCGTGTGATGTTGCCATAGAAACTTCCCAAAAAATTCAAAAGTAGCAGAAGCAGGGGCTTCAAAAATACAGTTGTATTTATTGTGGTAAGTGGACAGCTCAGAAAATATGAACAAAATAAAAAGAAATTCTTCTCAGTTTTCAGTCTAATCTTACAGGTTYTCTCTCTTGGAATTGTTTCAATGATTTCCATCCATTTAGTATGGCTAGGGTTTTTTTTTCTTGTTAGTGTGACACCTTTTAAGGTGAGACTTTAGGAGAGTTTAGGTGAGACTTTAGAGAGGACTTTTAAGGTGAGACAAAGGAGAGACTTAAATCCAGGCATTGGGCACTGCATTGTTCTGCCAGTGAGGAGCCCACAATTGCCTGGGAATGCTGCACTGCTCCAGGAGCCCCCACATTCTCTGCTTTTGCTTTGACTCCTTCACCTCCTCCTTCAGTGGCACAGCAGAGGAATTCATTCTCCTGGGAAGGAGAAGGAGCATGGCAGGCTTTAARGTTTTGACTTCTTCACAAACTCCTGTTCGTGTGAAAACACAGGAAGCAATTATAGGGAACATGGCAGAGGAGGGAGAAGGGGGAAATGGAGAAATAATTGGGTTCTTCAAATGCCACAGCAACAGCTGTGTCTGCTTTAGGGAAGAGGAGAATTGAGAGGACATGGCCCTTCATCCAAACTCCTGGATTTCCTCCCARTAAATAGATTTATGTTTCTCCCTTGCTACTTCATTTTTAGGAGCATTGTTAAAATACATCTCTTCAGCCTCCTCTGAGCTGTGCCCTTTCTGCTCAGAGGTTTCTCTGCTGCTCTCAGACACAAAGATTTGTTCTGCAGACCTGTTGCACTTGCATGGAGCAATTTCCAATTGCTTTTGGAAATCTGAGCAGCTCAAATCATCCCATTTGTCTATCACACTCTGTTCACAGTCACCTGATGGTTTTGTCCTGTCACCAGTTTCTGTTCTGTCCCCTTATCTGGTGCTCCCTGTGTTGAAAAAAAGGCATTGTTACTCACGTTTTTATTTATTTATTTTCTTAGATAATCTCTTAATTATCTTTTCAGTGAAGGACAACAATTGAAAGGAAGGGGCAGAGCCCAAGCTCTGTTAAAATTGTTACAAAAGCTTTGTATTTAGATAGGYCTGAGCAACAGCTCAGATTTTCACCTCCATGTCCTCAAATGATTCCGTGCAGACTGGATCAGTCCAGCAGTGACAATTCTTAAAATATTTGAATCTCCCTCGGTGGCATCCCTTCTGCTAACACACRCTCTTTGTTGCAGAGATAAAGCTGTCATAAAGTGCTCTTTGCTTTTCAGAAATGATCATGAAATTCAATTGATCAAATTTCAAAAAAACACTTTCCTAAGGGGAAAAAGAAAGCCTCAAGGTAAAGGTTGAATAAAAGTTACAAAAGAATATCTGCAAATACGAGCAAAATTCTCTTTCAGCATGAAGGGGAGGAATRGGAATGAAGATGGAAGTCAGAATAAATGTCACAGTTCAAAGCCGTGCCATAAGAAAGATAACATCACAGTCTCAGTTGCTGCCTCTGAAAGATGAAATGTTTTGTCCCTTTTATGATAAGTTGTGAAAGAGTTTAAAGGCTTGTCTAAGTCTAAATTAACTACTTAACAGCAGCTGCTTTTGTACTTATTTGGAATTTGTCTGTGTTTTTTGCTTGGATAATTTTTATTGCAGTGGGATTTTGAAGAGTAAATAATCAAAGATCTACAATCAGATATTTTAATTAGATGTCTGTGGATCTCCTCTTTACCCAGCTAGTGTGTCTCATGTTGCTGTTCTGGCTTTCCTTAATTCCTCTTCACTCAGCTGTAACCCAAAGCACAGCAAAAAAATGAAATACATTTTATGTTTACTCATGAGCCACTACAGAAGCCTGTGTTACACTGAGGCCAAGAGCTTGGACAGCATCTCCCATGTTTGGGAAGTAATGTCACAAAATTGTTGGCAAAAGTCTCCTTGGTAAGGCTTTAAACATTAAAAACATGTAATCCTTGCAATTTTTGTTTCAGGTGAAGCCACATTCTCTTGAACACTGCAGGTGAGACTTTAGGAAGCAATACAAAATTAGATTTTGAGCAACACAGTTTGTGTTCCTTGACTCAGAACCCCACAGCCCCAATCTGCAAACAGCARTTACCAGCCCACATCCATTATCTGGGTTTTATTCAATTCCTTAATCCCAGGGACCATTTGGGCAGCAAAAGCTACAAGGTTTGAAGTTTTGCATATTGATTTCATTGCCTAAATGAGTAATTATCAATTTCTGRAAGGTTTGCTTCTTACTCTGTGAAAGAAGATTTTCATTTTGTCACGTACATCACAGAAACAAGCAAAAGAGGATGGGATGGATTGATAGAAACAAAGCAATGRTGTTGCAAAGAGATAGTTCAATTTTGGTAAAGCAGTTTTTATATATTCATGGGGTTCAGGCCAGTTAAGTGCCCTGTACATCTGTCATTTAAATTTTGGAAGATTTTATTTATGCACCTTTTTTTTAATGAGCTAACACACAATGAATAAAAAGTCAGGCAAAAAAACAAGCAACAAATCAGTTTGAAAATGCATACAATGAAACTGTTGAACTKCCTTTTATAAAGGACTTCTGTCTTTAAGAATTTGGGGGATTTTTTCCCTAGCTGTTTACTTAAGAATCAAAACCTGTATTTACATTATAGCAGATGTAGAAGAAAACCCCTTGAACAAACAGTGAGTCATGTGCAGTTTAGCCTAAAAAAGGCAACTCCACAAGGAGCCACTAGAGTATAAGAAATTTCACTTATTTGTAAATTCACGAGGAATATCGTTAGTCAAACCCAGGCAATGAATTATGAATGGTTCTGAGCAAAAGGGGAAAATTGTACAWACTGTACAACTGACAAAGAGCAATTTGACATCCAAATGCTGAGAAAGATACTGAATATAAAATAAACAGTCACTGAGAATATAAAAACATTTCTCYACCTCACAGCTGCCAATCTAGTGTTGAAATATACAGTTTGAAGGTGTTGTCCTTTATTTATTTAAAGAATGAAATGTTTGCAAGAGGCATGAGTGACRTCATCTCTCTGTCTCTGGCATTTCTGAGTTGATTGCCCATCTTTTAGTTAATCATATCCCTTTCTTCAAACAGCTGCTTTAAAAGAGAAAATTTGGCTATTAGCTGCATGTTCTGAGGATCAAAAAAGGAGCAGTGGGGCTGCCATTTCTGATAACAAAGAAGGGCTGGCACCGTGATGTGCCAAGCTCTCCAAAGCCTGGTTGTGTTCTTCTGGCTGCTCACACAGTTTTGTGTTTTGATGTGTCTCACATCCTTCAGCTCTGATTTTCTGAAGGTTGCCAGTCTGCCCACTCCCTGTCAGGTTGTTTAGACACAGAATTATAAATACTGAGAGCAATCATAAATACTGAGAACAGCCATAATAACAGGGAGGCTGGAACCAGGTGATATTTAAGGCCCACTCCAAACTCAGCCATTCTATGATGGGAGCCTGACGTGACAACTGCCAATATTTTCCTTTCAGCAAGATGAATTACTTTCAAGATTTTTCAGATGGGCTACACTGGCATGGAAGACAAATATTTACCTGCCCACAAATTTTAAGCACAATGCAACATCAAATATGGCAAGTGTGTTGAGTTTCATTTTTATTCTCTCACAAGCACCTGTTTCCTCCTGTATCAATAAAATATATTAAACCAAATCTTTGTCCTTTTTCTCCATTTCAAAATCTTTCTGTCAGGACTCTGCCAAGGCCTTGCAAATAGGCCTTGCAATTTATTTTTTCATCTTCACCACCAAAGTTGGGTACGTGACTTTTTCTCTGTCCCCCCAGTCATCTGCTCTGCTCCTATGACAAATTTGGCATTTGAAGGGGAAGGAATTAGTCACTGGAGCAGCAAGAGAGAGCCAAGGATTCCTTACAAAAGCAGTGCCTTCAGACCATGTGTCTGCTACTCATCACTCCCTTCACATGAGAATTCATAAATACTCAGCATG